GGGAGCTACCTACTCAGATGCACCAGGAAATCAGGTATAGGGCCCAGTGCCTAGCAAAGGAAAATTGCTTCTTTCAAACTTTTCTTGGTAGAATTAGAGGAGATACCACCAGCCCTAGATTTTGCTTCCACTTCCTATTCTTCATCATCCAATGAGGGGATGCTATCCGAGAGTGCTTCCCCAGCGCTGGATGATTATACACCCATCAGGACCTGTGAAAAGAGCGTGGCATCTGCCTTAAATATTAAGGTAGAAGAGGTTCGTATTTGAGGAGTTTCCCTGTGGGTGCTCCACATTAGGTTTGCCAGTACCCTACACTTGTAGCCAGAGATTTGCAGCAGCAGTACCCCCCTAGGTGGCGGTGCATGCACGGTACGCATGTCATGCTGGTGTGAGTGGTTAACAACTGCATGCTGTCAACCATCCCTCAGTTCTTTCTCTACTACCTTAGGCTTAGATTGCAACATCAGGCAGCTCTGACACATCACTCCCTGAATGACCTTTAGGTTATCTCACATTACATTATAACCTACCCTGTTTTTTTTCCCCTTGGTTCTTACCTCCATTATTTCTTTAAGAAAAAAAAATATTTAAACTCTAAAGCTCTCTGGGCAATCCTCCTGGAGATGAACTTCTAACAGCATTCCAGGCCACTGGAATTCAAATACTGCGTTACTTGCAGACTGTCTAATGCTCTTTCAGGTGACCACTCTCAGTTTATCTGCTATTTCGGCAAGTCAGACAGCCCACAAAAGTGTGCATGCTGTTAAAAGCTGTCAGCTACATTTCCTGAAGCCAGAGACCTACAACTGAAATTTCTCCTGATGGGAGATATCTCTTAGTCCATCGTCACAGCCAGAAACTAGGTCTCCTCCATAGGAAACATCTCCAGAAGAAGTCTCTGACCAGGGATCCCATCTAGCGTCTATAAAATCTCCTTCCAAATAGCTGATGAAACACAGGCTTCAAGCTTTGCCTCAGAGAGAACATCCAAAAAAGAAGCATTCCCCAGGCAAAATGATCATCCCTGGTAACAATGGCACCATCCACCTTGGACTGAGAGACACTGGGAACATCCAGTACGCAGATGCCCTGAGGGCTAAAGGCAAAAGAATTGGCAGCCCCTAATTCTGGTGCACAAGTCAAGAAAGCAGTCGTCCAGATCGGCACCTTTGACACTGAAGAAGTCAGCACTGGCCCTTTCCGAGGCGGTGTCCCCAGCCACCAGCATGCAAGTACAAGCACCTTCGATATCATCAGTGCAGACAATCACGTGCACCCCGGCACCAACCTTCTCGGTACCACCACTGCTTACAGCACATGCTGATTTAGCATTAACTTTGGTACCTGGCACACCATTATTCAGTATCAATGGTATGCCAATCCACCCAGAACCTGGGCTGATCACACCACCGGCTAGTTCAGCACAGCCATTCCCCTCAGATGAAGAAGTGGAGGAAGACATGACCTCACAGACTCCATATCACTCCTCCCCAAACCATACCAATCCCACCCAAACAGGGGCAGCTGTACCCTACTTGGCCATATTGGGACCACTGGGCATAATATAGAACCCAGTCCCAGGCAACTCCCAAATCCACAACTCTTCCCACCACAAACCTCCTTCACCTTCATCTCCATCTCAAATTGGACAACAAGAAGATGTGGATGAACCAGATGATGCAACTGGAGAAGAAGTCATGATGCTCACCCAGATGAAAATATAATGTCCCCTACCTCCTACTACTAGGGACGACTTCAAATCATTCCAGGACCTTTTCAAGAGGTATACAACCACGTATATGTAAGACATATAATCAGAAAAGGCACCACCTCCACAAGTGAAGTATAACTCAGTATCTCTCACCTCGTTTGGTCCCATTACATAGAGTTTTGGATTATATCTTGGACCTCCAACAACACAGACTTGCTAGTAATTTCATCAACATACAATTAGTGGCTATGTCCATGAGGCATCATAAAATTGAGAGATACACCACATTTGCACATCCATCCTCTGAATATCTCCTTAATGGACTAAATAACTCGTTCACACTGCTAAAACAACCTACCTTGTGTGGGGCCCTAATATGTTATTGTACACACTTAAAAACAAACCATTTGAGCCTCTAACAATGTACTCCCTATTATATCTCTCAGTGAAAGTACTCTTCCTTATTGCTATCACTCCATCCAGAAGAGATGGGAAACTAGTCACCCTCATGGCAGATCCACCACACATGATATTTCAAACAGATAAAGTAATTTTAGGACCCCACCCCAAATTTCTCTCGAAAGTTAGTTTCACCCTTTCACTTGAATCAACCTTACTCACCTGTATACATCTCAAAGCTCCACACAATCACCACACAGCTCTACACTCCCTTGACATCCAACAAGAACTCGTGTTATACTTAGAGAGAACAAAAACATTTAGGAAATCCTCATGTCAATTTTTCTCTCCTACTGAAAGATTCAATATTTAAGCAGATATCTTAGAGCTAAGTGGATCTTTCAGTGCATACAACTATGCCATGAGCTCAACAATATCTCTGCTCCCCAAACAGTTTGCATTCATTCAACCAGAGCCATTTCCACGTCATAGGCCTTTTTCAATAATGTCCCCATCACAGACATTCGCCAAGTGACTAGGTGGACATTAATCCATACATTTGCCAAACATTACGCAATACAGCAACATTCCCCAGCAGACACACGTTTTGGGCAATCTATACTATTGACTGCATATACAGTTCTGAAAGGCCCACCTTCTACAACAAGACACTGCTCCATAGTCACCTAACATGGAGCACCCACAGGGACAGTCCTTGAAAAAGAAGAGAGGGTTACTCACCTGGTGCTGTTACTGTGGTTCTTTGATATGGTTGTTCCTGTGGGTGCTCCATGACTCTCCATCCCTTCTGTTTTGGATTATTATGGCTATCTGAGGTAGAGAAGGAACAGAAGGATAGTTGACAGCGCGTGACAATGAACATCTGACCAAGTTTCCACTTCTTATAAGCTTCCTTTTCGTGTTTAAGCTTGCCAAGGATTTCCCTGGTAAGCCTATCTGATCGCCAACCATATTTTCTTTTCTTACTGGGCGTCATGATGGTTTCTTCCTGTGCCTCCGGTAAGGCTCCTATAAAATAACTGCCTGCTCTCCAGGATAGCTTTCCCCTTCATGATAGCATTCCAGAGGATCCTGCCCATCAGTTCTCTGAGGGAGTCAAAGTCTGCTTTTCTGGAGTCCAGGGTGTGTATTTTGCTGCTCGCCTTTCTTTCTTTCTTTGTTAGGACCCTGAAATCTACCATCTCATGATCACTGCAGCCCAGGTTGCCACGGACATCTACTTCCCCTTCTAGTCCCTCCATGTTTGTGAGCAGCAGGTGAAGCTGCGAATGGCCCTGGTCAGTTCCTTCAGCATTTGTACCAGGAAATTATCCCCAACATTCTCCAAAAACTTCCTGGATTGTCTGTGTACTGTTGTACTTGTCTCCCAAAAGATGTCAGGGTGATTGAAGTCCCCATGAGAACTTGGGCCTGTGATCTGGAAGCTTCTCTTAGTTGTCTGAAGAAAGCCTCGTCTCCTTCATCCATCTGATCTGGTGGTCTATAGTAGACACTATATACTGCTGTATACTGTATACTGGAGATCTGAACAATCATACTGCTCTCTTATATACAGTGCAATTCCTCCTCCTTTTCTCCCTTGCCTTTTCTCCCTGAACAGTTTATACCCTTTTATGACAGTGCTCCAGTCATGGGAGTCATCCCACCAACTCTCCTTTATTCCTGTTTGTTTCACAGGCTTCTTGCATTCCTGTACGAACACTTCAGACAACTAGTTGGTTGTCCTACCTTCTCCGTTTGAATGAGAGGTCCTCCTTTGTTGCTCTTTCCTCCTTGTGCTTTTTTCCGGTATCCCACTTCCCCAATTACCTCAGGGCTTAGGTCACCATCCCCCAACGAACCTAGTTTATAGCCCTCCTCACTAGGTTTGCAAGCCTTCCCGTGAAGATGCTCTTGTTAGGTGGGTCCCAGCTCTTCCTAGCAGTCCTTGTGCCCGAAACAAGAGTCCCATGGTCCAAGAACTCAAAGCCCTCTCTCCGACACCACCTGTGCAACCACGCATTTAATTTCACAATTCAATGATCCCTACCAGGACCTTTTCCTTCAACACGGAGGATGGACGAGAACACCGTCTGCACTTCAAATTCCTTGATCCTTCTTCCCAGTGCTACATAATCTCCAGTGAATTGCTCAAGATCGTTCTTGGCCGTATTGTTAGTTCCTACATGGAAAAGCAGGAAGGGGTAGAGATCCGAAAGTTTGATCAGTTTTGGAAGACTCTCAACTGACAATAAGAGAGGGTCATTAAGCATTTATGCTAAAAGACAAAGAGGCAACAGGAGCTTGGTCTCTTTGGCAGAAAGCTTCATTCCATAAGGAGTCACCAACTGCAGAGCCATTTGCCGTTATGTTTGAAAACTCATGGCTAGAGAATCCAGCTCACATAATCAAATATCTCATGTAAATCAGATTTTAAAGAATATTTAAATACAGTTTAACTATTGATACATTTAAAGTATTTTCTTGCCATAGAGAGGAAACTGCGTGAACTATCAGAAGCGAGAAAGGCTTTGCTTGAAAGTCTGGAATCAAACCTTAAAGATCTACAACAAGCACAGGCTCTAGCGTCTAGCCAACCAAGCATTATGGCTGGTAAGTACAGGGGTAGGTGCTGATCCTGCATTCCTTACTCTGCCAGAACTGCAATTTGAGTTTTATGTTCACATGTAAAGGCTTTTTGAGCCTTTCTAAAAAGAGATTAGCCTGGTTAAGTAGTGCAAGATAGACACATTATTAATATAAAGATTTGTTGTATAGATAAAGCACATAGGAAATCTATGGTCACTATGGACAGAGTGGCCACCAGGGCACCTGAGATTTTTTTCTCTTTCCTTTTCTTTGGAAAGAACTTGCTCTTCCCCATCCACACATGCTTTTTTCCAAAAGAGCTCTTTTGGAAAAAAGCATGTGTGGATGGGGAAGAGCAAGTTCTTTCCAAAGAAAAGGAAAGAGAAAAAAATCTCAGGTGCCCTGGTGGCCACTCTGTCCATAGTGACCATAGATTTCCTATGTGCTTTATCTATACAACAAATCTTTATATTAATAATGTGTCTATCTTGCACTACTTAACCAGGCTAATCTCTTTTTAGAAAGGCTCAAAAAGCCTTTACATGTGAACATAAAACTCAAATTGCAGTTCTGGCAGAGTAAGGAATGCAGGATCAGCACCTACCCCTGTACTTACCAGCCATAATGCTTGGTTGGCTAGACGCTAGAGCCTGTGCTTGTTGTAGATCTTTAAGGTTTGATTCCAGACTTTCAAGCAAAGCCTTTCTCGCTTCTGATAGTTCACGCAGTTTCCTCTCTATGGCAAGAAAATACTTTAAATGTATCAATAGTTAAACTGTATTTAAATATTCTTTAAAATCTGATTTACATGAGATATTTGATTATGTGAGCTGGATTCTCTAGCCATGAGTTTTCAAACATAACGGCAAATGGCTCTGCAGTTGGTGACTCCTTATGGAATGAAGCTTTCTGCCAAAGAGACCAAGCTCCTGTTGCCTCTTTGTCTTTTAGCATAAATGCTTAATGACCCTCTCTTATTGTCAGTTGAGAGTCTTCCAAAACTGATCAAACTCACCAGAGGAGAGTCACTTAGGTGGATTGCAGTTGTTTGTGCTTTAAAGGGAATATGTTTTCTTTTAAATGTTCGCCATTATTAGATTTCTAGATATATCCTGCTTCAGTATTGTGAGAGTTCAGGTATACATGCTAGGCCTACATCTGACCATTCCCTGTCTTTGTACAGTGCTATAAGAGACAGTACTTAAAGTATAAGAAGGAAGGAGATTTTCTTTTATTTTGTCTATATATATTTGTACATATAAAAACTAGATACTCTTTTTACTAAATGGAATATAAAAGTTTCTAAGGTTTCATTCTATTTTCTATAAAATCTTTGTTTAGATAATTGTCTGTAGCAATTGTGCACTACCTGAATAAAGAATGCTCAAGGCAGAAACACAAATGCCCCTTTTAGTGTTCCATATTTTGTATATTTCATTTTACAGAGAATACCTATAAAATATTTTCTCTATTTAATGCACAAAAACCTTCCTTTCTCTTTAGAGAGCAAAGTAGAGGAGCTAACCAAGAAAAGAGAGATTTTACTTGCAAAGCTGGAAGTAAATCTAAAAGATTTGCAAGAAGCACAGGTTTCTGCAATGGGCCAGATGGGAAAAGAGAAATTGAGTGGTGAGTGCAAAGTAAATAAATTGCAGTCATCAGGAATGTTGATGGTGGGATGAGGGGAGCAGTTCTTCCAGGATCCTCTGTGGACTCAATACTTGGACTAAGAATACAAAGTCTTATACTTTCACTTATGAATACTCAGGACTAGATTAAAAAATGGGAGTTAGACTCAGCATTGCAACATCTAACATTTAGGTGCCCTGCTGCTTTATGGAATTCACAGTCCTAAGTTAGGTATCCAGGCTCCTTATACAATGCACGGAGAGGATGAGGTGCCTAAGAATGTGATTTACAAAAACCAGCACACTGTGAGGAGTTGCCTAAGCTGGCTGGTAGGAAGCTGTTTCACTTTATAGAAATCTTCTTGGACTGAGCCGTCAATTGAAAGATCTCATCTTTTATGACATCTTTGATGAGCAACTAAACCAATCCTGGATCAGCAGAGCCAATTACAGATGTCACATAAAAGGCTGCCAACTGCAGGTGCTGTATGTTCTTTTCAGATCCTCCACTTTTCCTGTAATATCTGGATACTCTGGCTCTCAAAGTATTTAAGAGCCTGTATAATGGTTTATCGCCAGGACAAACTGTCCTTAACTAGAGTTTCCAGATCATTGGGAGATATGCCGTATGACTTGATATTGGCCTTAAGTTGTCTTTATAGTACTTATATTGACCACCGATAGAGCGCTTTCGATGAGCAAGCTGGCGATAAAAGACCATCTTTGGTATTCATGTATCATCCATCCTCATAACATGACCGATCCAGTGAAACTGTTTGTTCATAAGCATTGCTTCCATGCCCATGACACCACACAGCTTAAGAACCTCCTTATTAGGAATTTTGTCCCACCAGTTCACACGGACAATCTTTCTCAGACAATGCATATGGAACTGATCGAGCTTGAAAACATGGTGACGATATATTGTCCATGACTCCGAGCCATACAGCAGGACATTCAAGACAACTGCCTAATAAACCGCTATCTTGGTATGGAGTTTAATACCATGGTCATTCCATAGGCGTTTGGTCAGTTTTCCAATGGCAGCACTGGCTTTGGCTAGTTGAGCAGATACATCATGATCCACATTTATGCTAGAGGACAATTCAGTTCCCAGGTAGCAGAACTTGTCAACAGCCTTAAGGACTATACCCACAGCAGTAATCACTGGAGTTCTGGGCCCTTTCCAGACAGGCTGAGGCATAACTTGTGTCTTCTTGAGGCTCACTGAGAGTTCAAAATGGTGAGCAGAAGTGACAAAGCGATCAAAAAGCTCCTGTGAATCTTTCACTGAATAAGCCAGCAATGTACAGTCATTGGCAAACAGAAGGTCACGAATAGTTGTAGTAACCACTTTACTGCAAGCCTGGAGTCTCCGGAGATTGAAAATACTGCCATCTGTTTGAAACTGAATAAGTATGCCCTACGTGCAGTCCTTAAAAGCAACTAACAGCATAATTGAGAAGTAGATGTTGAATAGGAGAGGAACCAGGGCACATCCTTGCTTTGTACCATTTGATATTTCAAAAGGTGCTGAGGTGTTTCCATCATCAAGAACACAACCAAGCATGCCATCATAGAGAGACCAAACAATGTTGATCAATTTTTCAGGACAACCAATTCATCCAAGTATTTTCCAGAGCCCATTTCTGTTGATCATGTGGAATGCCTTGGTCAATTGATGAAAATCACATAGAGGTCCTGATGTTGCTCTCTACGTTTCTCTTGTATCTGTCTGGCTGTAAATATCATATCAGCAGTGCCTCGACTGGCACAGAATCCACACTGGCATTCAGGAATAATACCATATTTAAACACATGTAGTGAGAGCTGATTGTTAAGAACGCAGGCCAGGATCTTACCAGCTATAGAGAGCAGAGAAATGCCCTGATGGTCATCGCAATATGCACGGTCACCTTTCCTCATATATATATTTACAATCAAGGCATCTTTGAAGTCCTGGGAGACTAGCTCCTTCAATACTTTGTGGAAATGTTCAGCCCAGTGGTCAAGGATTTTAGCATAATCCATGATCAAAGTGAGGCCATCAGCAGAGTGCCCTGGTATACAGCCAGGAAAGCGTGGCCCATAGACTGCCTTCAGCCCATCATAGAATGCTTTAAAATATGTCTATCATCTGCATCTTGGAGTTTAACTGCTTGATTTTTCCACCAGTCCTCTTTCGTTTGCCGTAATTTGACTTGTGCCTCCTGCTTAGTTTGTATATACGCTGATTTCCTGCAGGCATTCTCTTTGTCATTTATCCAAGCCAGGTGTGTCACATGAATCTTATCAAGAAGAACTTGTGCATCTCTGTCCTCGTCATCAAACCAGCCCTTGTGCCTGTGTTTTTGCAAACCGAGGATCTCAACAGCAGTCTGTAGGTTGTTTCTTTGATGTTTCTCCAATCATCCTCAATAGTGGGTGACCATTCTAGATCTTCGTTGCTGGTGACTAAGGAAGCATCAAGACTGCATTGAAAAAGTGCTTATGTCTCAGATATCTCAAGTTTACCTACATCCAGCTTTTTTTGGCATACAGCGGAATGATGATGTTTTGATGAACAAAGGTTCAAGGAGACAACACTACGTGACATATAGTGGTCAAACCAGGAGCCAGTACCACGCATTGCATGAGTCAACTTGACTTCAGAAAGGTCTTTTTGTTTGGTGATGAATTAGTCAATCATATGCCAATGCTTAGACCGAGGGTGCATCCAGGTTGCTTTGTATTTGTTCACCTGTTGGAAGAATAAACTTGCAGAGTACCATTTGAGTTCTCACATCCAGTACCATGATGTCCATGCACCTTTAGCCATGTGATGTAGTCCTGACCAACTCTAGCATTAAAATCATCAAATGAATATAGCTTAGATTTAAAAGGTACTGAAGAAATCATTGAATTCAGGCTAGCGTAGAAATCCTCCTTTTCATCATCTGCATCAGACAAAGTGGGTGGGACTCTAAACTTTGGAGTCATAAGGCGAGAACTGATGGCATGTGGCTCGGAGTCAAGTTGGGAACTAGCAGTGTCTGGTGAAGCCAACTCCTGCTTGCCTTGGATGATCCTCTGGGTGGCCCACACAATAATATGGATAGCCTGCTCCGAACTCTGTGAACTGGATGGTACCAGAAATACGTGTTTTGCTTAAACATGCGATGTCAATTTTATAACGTGCAAGTTCTCTACCAATGATTGCTGTCCTGTGTTCATGGTGATCATCATGATCAAGAAGTGTGCGTACTTTCCAGGATGCAAAGCATAGTTTCTATTTAGCCATTCATTTTCCCTTGTGACCGCAAAATGCTTATATGTTCATTGGGACAGAGAAGGTATGATAGTGATTAGGACCGCACGCCAGATTTCTCTTGAAAGTTAGTTTCACCCTTTCACTTGAATCAACCTTACTCACCTGTTTACATTCCAAAGTTCCACACAGTTACCACATAGCTCTACACTCCCTTGACATCCAACAAGGACTAGCGTTTTACTTAGAGAGAACAAAAACATTCAGGAAATCCCCATGTCTATTTCTCTCTACTACTGAAAGATTCAATATTTAAGCAGATATCTTAGATCTAAGTGGATCTTTCAATGCATACAACTATGCTATGAACTCAACAATGTCTCCGCTCCCCAAACAGTTTGCATTCACTCTACCAGAGCCATTCCACAGCATGTGCATTTTTCAATAATGTCCCCTTCTTCTTCAAATGATATTCCCGTGGATGCTCCACTTTAGGTGTCGGGCTTGTCCCGTGCCGCAAATCAGAGAGTCGCCAGCAGTAGTCCAATCGGACTATGCATGCATGGCAGGCATCACATGCCGATTCTGAGCACGCACGGTCCGGCTCCTGCCAGTTCCTCCTAACTGTCTACTCTTCTCACTCTACTCCTGCAATTCTGACAGAAAAGTTGTAAATAGTGTTAGTTTAGTAGCTCTGGTTATTCCAGTTTAGTAGTCTTAGTTGTTCTAGATAGTTTATAGTTTAAAAAAAAACTGTTAAAAATTTTCCTCATAGTTAACTAGTCACCTCAGAACGTAACATGCCGGGATCCCCCGACTTCAAAAAATGTGCGACATGCCAAGACATGATGCCTGCCTCAGACGGGCATTCGCGATGTATTAAGTATTTGGGCGAGGGCCATATCCCTCAAAAAGCCAATGCTGTTCCAAACTCACAGTGCAAGCCAGACGAGACAGCAAAATGCGGCTCAAGATGCTCCTCTTTAATAACGCACTGCAAGCAGCCGAGTCTGGCGCTTCTCGGCCTCCGGACGCTCGTGCAACGGATAAGCGGGCCACCCCAAGAGCGACTGGAAGGAGCTCTTCTCCACACAGCCACTCTCCTTCTAAGCGGATCAGTACGGCAGAAAAGCCGGGCACCTTGGGAATGGGCCTCTCCAATTTCCCTGATAAGCATAAGGCCACCTGCAGTACATCAGCGCCAAGTTCTGTCCTTTCAGGGGAAAAGGAGCATGTAATGCCATCGACACCTAGAGCAGAGTCAGCACCGGCAGCAACACCCAGAAGGACTTCCATGTCAGCACCTAGAACCACCACGGCACCAATGCCGAAGCCGGCACTGGTGATGAAGCCGGCACCAGTGACGAAGCCGGCACCAAGAATGGCCCTGACACCATACTTGCCAGCACAAATGCACCAAACTGCACTGAGTGCAGGACTGATCATGGCGCTGAGTGTATGTGCACTTCCATCAGCACCAACATCGCCAGTACTGCCGAAGGAACTGGAGCCACAAGTGTTGCTCCTCCACCAGGGCCGGTCCAAGCCATTTTAGCGCTCTGGACCCGGATGGGCGGCGCTGCCCCCAGGTGCATGGCGCATGTGCGGGCCCGCCCCTACTAGGGTGTACGGGCCTGCCCCGGGGGCACACGGCACATGCACAGCCTGGCCCAGTCACAGCTGCTGGTGCACAGCCCAGGGTACGCCCCCGGGGAACACAGTGCCTGCGCTGTCCAGCCTGGACTGGCCACCGC